AAAAATTAAAAATTTTAAAAAAAGTGAGCATGGAAAGGTGGAGTCAGCGAGGTGGATCCATCTGTCTCCCAATGGGAAATTTAGGGAATTTGAGGCCTCCCCATGGGTGAGTAAATGAGGCAAGGGAAGTGTAACAGTGGTGGTGTTATTCACCATTTAATTAGTGGTTTGTCTCAGTCTCTCCTGCCTTCACTCAGAGTCAGGATTAAAAACATGAAGGAAATGAATTTTTTTGGGCTTGATTGTTTATTAAATCTTATCTAAAGCACAGAAAGTTCAGTAACACTTCCAGCCACCAGCTAGAAGAGAGTAAAATAGAGAGAGATGCAGCTGCTACAAGATTTCTTAAAGCTAAACAGAGAATTAACACCTATATTATTGATACTTTTAACCCAATAACCAAATTCCCATGACCCTCAGTGCAGCACTCACTGTCCAACCAGAAACTACTGCCTGAAATCATGGAGAAGGAAGAAAGGAGACACCACCCAAAATCCTGCATCTTGTCCCATACCTATTCCTGTATTATAAAAATCTCAAATTCCAAACCCTTCACCGTGTGAAATCACACACTTCTATTTAACTACACACTCGTGATTTTAACTCCATCACCCAAATTTGGAGCCTTCTCCAAGGCCTCAGGTCCAAAGCAGTGTTCTGCAGGGGGTCAGTGCCAGAAAGCTCAAAAATCCCAGATTTCTGGGAAGAGCAGCCACAGGGCACAGCCTTTCCATGGCAAACCCTTTCCTGTGGGCAAAGGGAATTAGCAGAGCAATAAAAACCTGGAATAGAAAGAGGGGAAGTCAGGACTATTGAAGCTGAGGCACAAAGGAATGGGTTTTATGAGCTCAGGGTTAAAATCCTCGGATAAAAAATCCTGCCTGTGTTCCCCAAATCCCCCAGGAACAGCAGAACCAAGGCAATCAGCATTGGAGAACTGCTCTCCCCCTATGGAGACACAATTCCATCCTCAATCCCTTGGGACAACCAAATAAAGGCTGCTCCTTCCCCAGAGCCTCCCACTCCTTTTCCCAAATAATTCCCTGCTGAGGCCACGGCAGCTCTGAGCATCCCAAAACCACGTCCTGCTCCATCCTTCCCACTCAGATTTGTCACATTTTTGGGTTAACACAGAAAAAAAAAAAAAAAAAATCTCATCTCTAACCTGGCAGCGCCCCTTTGGCAGCTCCTGGAAGTGCTAACACCCAAACTAAGGAGATTTAGGCACGGAGAGGAAGAAGGAATTAAAAAAAAAAAAAAAAAAAAAAAGCAAAAATGGCAGAGCTTTTATTTCCCTGGGAAACTCTGTCCTGGATCAAAGGGCCGCCCAGCCCGGGGCAGCATCCTGTCCCCACAAAGGGGACAGCCCCAGCCTGGCAGGAAGGCTTGGGAGGGGGCAGGGGACAATTGTGGAATCCTCAGTCCCCGGGGGAGGCTGGTGGCACTGCTGGCAGCCCCAGGTCCCCCCGTTTATGGCCCTTATAAATGAGTTTATTCCGTGCCATGAAAGGAGCCCGGCCCTGCAGATGTCCTTGCCAGACATCCAAGGGTTTTTTTTTTTTTTTTTGTAGGATTTTTTTTTTCCTGGTTTTTCTTTGGGAAGCCTTTTAAGGATTATTAGCTCCTGGTGAAAAATTCCCACAGGTTAATGAGATGCTGGATAGAACAGCCCATTTTTGCAGCTCTAAAGGGCTGAAAAATCCCACAGATTCAAAGTGCTCAGGAGCAGTTTGATGGGGTTTGGATCAATTGATATCAACCCCCACTCTCCTCCCTCTCCTCCCACAATTTTCCTGCATTTCAGGGCCACAGATCCCTCGGGGAGCACAGAGGGAATTCCAAACCCTCCAGATTCACTGTGGCTCCATCCCTCCCTCCCAAAAAATCCTGGATTTGCT